AAGTGAAAACCTGTGTAGGTACTCCGTACTTGTACGTACATAAGGTACGTATATAGGATGAGTTGAATTGCCACCGGTTTAGTCTCCGTCAAGAATCAAGATAGAAAAACCGGGCGCGGGTGGAGATCAAGCTGCGACACTAGGCTTGTTGTAACCTAGTTCTCTCTACCGTTGGTGTAACTTCTTGGGGGTGGAGAGACTCCGGAGACTCTTCTAGAGCGGAAAGAGGGGAAACTGTCGCTGACTCATTGATTTTAGATGCTTCAGGGAGGGTCTAGACAGAGGTACACTGTAGTACTACCTGTACTTCCAGCACTGGGTTTTCAACGAATTTACTATGAATACCTCTTACTACTTACCTATACTACAGAGTGCTTCACCACTGTAACCACAGAGAGGTATTTGTTAGTTAAGTGGGTTATCATCCAGCACAGTAAAGTGGTTGACAACCGACTTTCCAATTTAACAATAGTCAATTTAAATGATCGCATCATTCAGTGGCAGGGAATGATGGAATTGTCTGGCTTTGAACATTCCTCTCAATTGGAGCATCCTGAATGCAACCAAACTCAGGTTCAAGGTTGGTTACTCCGTTCGGAATGAAAACTCTAGGCAGTCACTCATATACAATACATCTCCCGAATTGGATGATCGCCCAGAAAGGCGGGGGTGCCTCTAGTCGGTTTGGTACGTATGGGTACTTCAGTCGGATTGGACCTACCTCAGTTAGTTCCATGTAGGTACTGTACCTTTCCCCCCTCTACAAACGGGGTGTAGACAAACACACACACACGCGCGCGCGCGCGAAGAGAGAGAGAGATTCTTCGGACAAAATTCATGTTTCTTTGCGTCTCGATACGTCTCCTTGCTTAAATGTTGCAGGATACAATAACTACATATTACATCCGTACCTTGTGGATGTCCCGAGCATGGCACGGATTTTCTGCCCGCAGGGCTGCTGCTAACGAGCTAGTGATAACTAAGTACAAGTGCGTAGTTACAGTAAGACTGACAGTCCGAATCCCGCCGCAATCGATCGGAGCTATTCGGATTGGAATAGAACGAGCGATAGGTGCTGTGCAGTACTCCGTGCTTCGTCCATAGTACTCGAGTGGTCTAGGTAGTCTACTTCTCGTAGTACAGTACAATACTACTCAGTACTAGCCAAAGATACAGACGAGTTCTCCTCTCCCTCCCGCTCTTTTGCCCCTCTCGACTGTATCAATGGTGATTGCCCCCTGCAAGTTGTACTGTACCTTGGCTGCATCTTAATCTATTCAACGGTCCAAGCGCATTGGCAACTAGAACCACTCTCTCAACAGGATCAATCTAGACTCATCCACTTCCTGAACGAGGTATATGTACAACGCTGTACTCGACTTAGGTAATATTAGCATCATGGTGCACAAGGAAATGAAAAGGCGCAATCAGTCAACGATTGGTGACAATAGGGCTTCCAAGCCTCTCGAGGGTACACATATAAATTGGTGTGCGTTGATACCTAAGCACCACAGGCTGAGTCAAATCTGATTTGTCCGCAATTATCCCTCATCCTCGGGGTAAATTATTACCCCAGAAGGGTCATTACGTGAAACCTAGACCATATCACCAACAAAGAAAAAGGGGAGCAAGCACCTGAGGGTTTAAGTATGGTATAGTTTTCAAGATCCATCGGGCGGCTCGATGCACGTCAGTAAACGGCTGGCGGGGACTCGGGACAGTGGAGACTTTCCAAGGTCGAGAAAACCTTGTGCAAAGACCTTCCGATAATCCAATCATTCCCACGAGGGCCTATCCTACGCTTCTCTTTGGTCAATGGGCTTCCATGATAAGAAAACCAGAAACCGGGGCCCGGTCCGCAAGGCAATTGACTAAGTTAGTACTTACAGTACATGCAACTGAGCTTCCCTTTGCTTTCCATTCCAAGGTTATCAGCTTATGACTCCCATGCAATGGGTCTTTTTCCACTCCGTAGAGCACCATGAACAGAATGCCGAACCGGTTACAGCTCGAGTGCAACGAAACACCCTGTGCAGGCACCAATGTTCCCGATACGGTCTCGAACCACCCAGCCAAGCGAGTTGTTTCTCCTCCAGGCTGTATGTCAATCATCATGAATATTTGTTAAGGATATAAGGATAACAGCGATATCGATTGGTTACAAGATCGTTGCTTAGAAAAGGCAACGTGCCTATACCCCTCCACTTAATCTTAGACACCTTTAGGTCTACATTCTGATCCGATGGCGATCGTCATGACAGCACTAATCTTCGCCAGGTATTGTAGTTAGAAGATTCATCTCTAAGCCCGGGTTCCCTAGGGGCTGTGATTGACGTGTCTCGAGGTCGACTAGCTAAAGCACTGCTCATCCCTCTGATCTCGTCGCTATATTATCCCTGGCTCGAACCAGGGCCATTAGCTACGCTCGACTGGTGTCTGTTGAGGGGCAAATTCCAACGCGGCAATGCCCCCTGTACTCCCCTTGTCTGATGAGAGGGGCTCTTGTCTTTTCAACGAAACTAGGGTCGCTTTGATTCGCAAAGCTTAAGGGTTTCTATTCCCATCATGAATCGGAGCCAAGTGCAAGCATACTAGTCTCACGCGTGCTTTATACAGGTGCTGAAACACATTTGCTCGATACCCAAGAGCAGAAAATAAGAAAAATAAATCCGAATGGAAGGGATAAGATACAAGAACATAGGCACCCAGGTTACATATTATACATCAAGACCGGAGCGGTCTTGATCTCTTAACATGCTGCATGGAAATCTGTTTCACAAGTAGAAACCGCACCCATCATCTGATGGTTACACATTCTAGGCTGTGAAACCTATGTCACTCAAACTACATGTAAGGCCACGTTATCGACTTGCTTATTTGCCATCGGAAAGCGCAGGCCCCTTGCCAGGCGATACTCTTCAAGAGTCGTGTGAATGTGCAAAGTGGAAGCTTCGTGATCCGTGAACTTAGCCCTACCAAAGCGAGTCTGTCCTGGGAAGAAGGCTGGTTTTGGGAAGAGACCGATTTCAGTATACCTCTAGCGGAAGCATGCTCGTATTGTAGACGAGGAACCAGCCGTCGGCTCCTATGAGGCAACCCCGACAGCCACTTGCGATATTGACAATCTCCGGCCACTTTGCCCCGAATAGGCTTTGGGGGTACTATGGGTCGAGGATTGATCTCCTCGTCATTCCGATTGACGATCAGTCTATCAGCTATGCTCTGGCCAGCTCGGTAGGATTCCCCGGAATTGGGATTGTGCCTATTAGTGCCTGAGGTGGTAGGCTTCACTTTTCCGCTTGAGGTAGCACATCTGGCTCTTGTTCGAAGCGTTAATTATGGCTGGCTTGAGAGTGAAGGCGTCGGGTACTGCAGAAAGGGCTTCCTTGCGTTCTGCTTGGCCCCTATTCGCCTGTCTCGGGCCTCCGGGAGTTTGCACCATTGCTTCTGATTTTTCTGTCTCCGAACTGCCACCACTTCCCTCTTCCTACTAGCTCCTCTGCTTGATGACTATTGTATTGAGGGTTCTTCGAAGATTCTCCCAGCCACAATCCCGTTGGAGCCACGGGTGTCAGAAGCGGATAGTCGACGTCTCACTTCAAAATCATCGGGTCTCGCGTAACACAGAGAGGGTATAAGAAGGCAAAGAGAGCAAGCTTACTTTCTACAAAGTATACATACTAAAAAAACCTCACGAGTAGGAACTAGAATCAGATAGAAACCTCACCATGTGTTTGTGCCATCGTCACTTTATACTTTTAGTTCTTTCAAGATTGTTCTCCTAGCTCGTTATACTCGAACTTGAGCGGGTTTTATCTTGCAAACAGAAGTACCATCGCCTCAGCATGTTTCTTCCGGTCTCTTATAATCCTTAATCATGCCTGTCCAGCCGATTATGCCTGCGCTGGCATATACTATCACGTGACCATCATCACAGCGCTTCCCCGAAGTGGTTAGTGGGGTGGCTGCAGTACCGACCCCGCGCCATCTCGATAAACTAAAGTGCAGTCGGTGATAACAGGACTTCCGAATTCGACGAATTCTAGTGATTTAAAACATAATCACTCTCTGGATCGATTGGCCGTCATTCCATAGACCATATACAACAAGGTCATTGGGTCAGAAAATGGCGGACGTCGAGCAATCTTGTCCGGTGGAAAATCAGGCAAAGCACGTCCTGTACTGTGGAGGTGAGTGAAGGCCCATCTCGAACTCGAGCTTCTGCAATGGGATGAAAACCATTTCTCGCTACCCTGGCCCTTAGATTGACAAGGCTAACGCATTGTGTGTTTTGCATGTGCAGTCTGTACACTGCCTGTAGAAGTATGGCCCTCATTCCAGCCTTTTTTTCCCCAGAGCATGTTATGATCGGCACCATCTCAAATCGAACGACTTTCTCGAAGACAAGTGGTTGACTCGTGGATCTCCAGTATTGCGAATTCGGCGGAACGGCGAAAAAGTGCGAAGACTGGCTGAAAGACACGCACCCGGACGCGTATCAGCAGCTCTATTCTGAAGGTTCGTCCGCTCTGTTCAGATCATTGTGGCAGATCTTGGAACTCCCGCAGCTGACTCTGATATGGGGTCGCAGAGGCTCTGACTTCCAAGTTATCTTCACTTTCGGTGTCTGCCCAGGAGCGTGCTGCTAAGGATGCGGCTAAAAAGGAGGCAAAGGCTGCCGCCGCAGAGGCACGCGATGCAGAGCGCAAGGCTGCTTCCAAGGTACAGATCAAACGCGTTGAACGTAACAAGCGCAAACATGTCACCGTCATCACGGGCTTGGACATTTACGGATTGGAGAACAAGAAGCTCGCCAAAGAGCTTGGCAAGAAATTTGCGACTGGCTCCTCCATGACTCGCTCTGCTGGAGGCACCGAGGAGATCACTGTTCAGGGTGATGTCAGTGAAGACGTGAAAGAATGGTTGTTGGAGTTTTATGCCAAGGAAATCCCCGAGGTCAACATTGAGCTTATTGAAGACAAGAAAAAGAAGTCGAGCAGCTGATTTATTGTCTTTCGATGACCTATTATATAACGGCAGACTAAACGCTTAACGTACTAAATCGGATGCTTGGATGCAACTGGGTATCACACGCAAAAGCCAATAGTAATGCAATGGAGTCGAGGCCGACCTTGACCTTCATGCCGAGAGCACAGAGACAGGAAGCCGCACTTGTAAATTATTCAGAAACAGAAAAATTCAGAGGGTCGTCACCAGCAGGCTCCGAACTACCGGATCCCTGATATAGGGTATCAATTGGCTGCTTGATCCACGTGTGAGTGTTTCCTCCTTGAGATTCGTGATTGCCCTCGTCCCGGAGTGATACACTATGATCCAACGTTGCCGTGCCTGCACGCATGTTGTTGGAAATGGCCGAGGATGTTATCATGCTCCTGTTCTGTGTGGCAATGGCCAGAAGCACTGCAAGTACACCCGCTACTGCAAAGGTCCAGAACATACGGAGCCTTCGATTCACGCGGTCTTGCCATTCCATCTCTTTCTTCTCCCAGCGATCGATCTCATTCCGCATGTTCTCAAGTCGATCATTGAGTTCCTGAGCTTTCGTCCGCCCTATCTTCATGCGATCTTCTAACGCTTCTATCTTTCTGATCTGTGGCTGGAATTCTTGAAGCTCTCCGATCTGTTTTCGGATCTCTTGGTCGAGACTCGACGTTTCTCGCTGGAAATCGACAAAGAGACTTGATGTAGAGCTGAGCAGTTCCTGGAAAGATGATACCGTAGCATTCAGGGCTGCCACATTCTCTAAAAGGTTATAGTACGTGTAATCCAGACGGCGCGTGATGTCTGTAGCCAATATTCCGATAAGTGACAAAGCGGACCTCAAATACCTGGTGTGCAGTCAGTCATACCAAGCCCGGTTCACGATACAGCGGTCGGAACTCACTCCTCGCCATATTTCCGTCGACTTTTCACTTGCTTCAGGTCCTCTAACGACCGGAGCTCTTGACGTGCGACCGGGCCAAGTTTTGTGTTTGTATCGATTCCCTCAAGTAAGCTCTCCCTCCGGCTCCCGTCAGTCAATCCCGTGGTAGACTCTGATCCCCAGCGCGACCGTGTCGTTCGACGTGTGATCGGACGGAGGAGACCATTCTCTTCATCGTTGTCTTTGTCCCTCATCCCGGGCCACGTCGGTAGCAGACCCCTGGCAGTGGTAGATGTCGTAGACTGATTCTTTCTCCGTGGGAAACGACCGTCGCCAGATTTGTTACGCTTATGCTTGTGACGGTGGCGTGATTTGGACAGAACTCGGTCTAAGCTGGGAACGTCGATGGCCAGATGACGGTGCTGCTGTTTCTCTTCGGACGGGCTGACGATGTTGGCAAGTTGCAGATTGTCTTCATGACCATGGCTATCGGTGATAAATTGGGCTTGATCATAGCTTGTGCTGGCCAGCTGCTGGTCCAGTGAAGTACTAGGCGGTTTCTGGGTGACGACCACGCCAAAACCATGGGTGGCCGGTGGATGAGGGACGGAGCGCTCGGGAGTCGTAGAAGATACCATGCCAGGCGAGGACAAGCTCATCGAGGCCTCCGTTCGGACTCAGCAAGGCCCTTGGTCCGTAAAGCGGATAGTTTGATGCAATAAAAGAGAAGAACTACTTGTTTCAATGCCCATCAGCTGTGCTGCTGGTCAAAGCCATTCGATTGACATGGCGGACTCGACATCAGGCGCCAAGCGTTGACCGATTGATATCCTCCTCCCCCCTGGATTCTTTAGACTACGTACTGGTACAGTACATACAGCACGATCGGCATGACTTGAAACGCCCGACTCCGTCTCCGAGCCCATGTGGCTTTACAACTACTTTGGTATAGCATGAAGTCTTGGAGAATCCTATGTAAAGATGTTTCTTGCTTTCGTATGAGTATAATTAAAAACCTGTATCCAGAACCCCCAACTCCAAGGTCGCCATGATCCATTTTTGTCCCGACAGAAAATTGAAGAATGTGAAAAGAGGCCTATCGCCACATTATCTTCCGAAAGCTCAGCGCAAATAAGAGGAAGGCGATTTCTGCGTGTAGGAATAGGAAGAAAAGGCAATTTTCGAACAGCTGGTAGGTAACCGCCATGCATCCAGTGCAGCTAGCAAACAGCAAGAAACAGTTCAACCGCGACAGCATACACTGAACTGTCCAGGGTCGACCAAGCTCTAGGCAGCATCAAGAATTCAACAATTTGTTGCGCTTTTCACGGCGCTTCAAGCGCTCAACACGTTTACGATGCATCTTCTCGGCCATCTTTTCATAGCGCTCTTTCTCTTCCTTGGCGGCTCTGCGATCCTTAATTCGCTGGATATGGGCCTGGTTGTGTTGTCAGTCCACCTACGCTGCCTAGGGGTGGAATGAATTGCAAGTCTGCCCTACCTTCCGCTCAGCCTCCTTCTCTTCCTTAAGTTCCCTTTCGTGCTCTTTGACGGCCTCTTGGTGTTTGCGGGTTTCCAGGCGCTTCGCATAGGAGGTCATACCCGCCGTAGGGCGGAAGGGCTTCTTGGAGTCGTGCCAATTTTTCCCTGCGGGTCCGAGAAGTACGACTCATTAGCTCCAGTCATTTTTTCAGGAGGGGGGAGGGGAAGAAACAAAATGTCAGAAAGGAAAAAAAAGAGAGAAAAACAGGTAAAAAGTGGGGAAAGCAAATTAATACCATTCTTCCGCATGCCCTTAACGGACGGAGGGACTGAAGCCGAGGAGGACGACATGGTCAGACCAGGTGAGGAGGGTGGGAATGGAAATTAAATCTGCCACCAAAGCGAGATATATGCTGAGAATGGGGAAGAAGGAGTGATATGTATTATTAGCAGTTCTCCGCTGCCTTTCCCTCTTATTCTTCCGGTTGTCTGATTTTGAGGAAAAAGTTATCTTAGACCGATCAGATAACCGGATCTCGGTGGAAGTGAGTATCCGAACCCGCGTCTGGCACTTGTGGCTCCGAGGATGAGGGATTTGTCCCACCTCGTTTCCTAAGAATCACTTGGTTGGCAAGCTAGTTGAAACATCGCAACCAACCGTCTTCCTCTTTGGCCCCCCACTATATGTGACCTCTCGGCCTTTGGGCTCATCTGCTTCCAGCTTTTCAAGCGATGCTCGCTCTTTCCTGAATTTATCGCGCATGGTTCGGGCATCTCACTGACACCACCCCTCCCCGACACACCGCCCCTCTTCGGATCAGGTCCTCCTCTTTAAATACTCGCTTGGCCCTTTAGACCGAACCACTTTCTATACCTACCATGTTCTCTTAACAGCTTAACTTCCTGTCCTGTCCTTGCTGCCTACCTTACCTCATCTCCTCTCCAATTCTTGACTATCTTTTCCCTTATGGCGGCTGCAGAGAATGCGAGAGCACTAAAGAATGAGATGTCGATGGAACTCCCTTCACTCCCGCCCAATCAGGGCTTCGAAGCTTTCAAAGATATTCTGTTCGGATCTGTGAGTCGCCTCGCTGTATCGCTCAGTGTTGAGCTGGAAACCACTGACGCTCCGTCAGACTGCGGGAATGGTAGGGAAGGTAATCGAATACCCTTTTGATACCGTCAAAGTACGACTCCAGTCCCAGCCGGATCATCTTCCTCTAAAATACACCGGTCCCCTGGATTGCTTCCGTCAGTCGTTCCAAGCCGATGGTGTGCGTGGGCTCTACCGAGGGATCAGCGCCCCTATGGTCGGGGCGGCTGTAGAAAACAGCTGCCTCTTCTTCAGCTATCGCCTCGTCCAGGATATACTTCGCGCCACGTTTTACGCCCCGGCAGATGCGCTACCCTTCCCAGCGTTGGTTCTCTGCGGTGCTGCTTCTGGGTCAATAACCTCTCTCGCACTTACCCCGGTGGAGCTGATCAAATGCAAGATGCAAGTACCTCTGGCAGGCCCCGGCGCTAAAGCGCCGGGGCCTGTGGCTCTCATTGTATCTGTGTTCCGACGCGATGGTATTATGGGCTTCTGGCGTGGACAATTAGGGACATTTATTCGCGAAACCGGCGGTGGCGCCGCTTGGTTTGGTAGCTACGAAGGAGTTATGGCGCTCTTCCGCTCATCCCGCGCAGCCTCTCAGCGGGCTGATGATGCCGCATTTGAGTCCGATCGCGTTCCCATACCCCAGCAGATGCTCGCAGGTGCAGCAGCTGGCGTCAGTTACAATTTCCTGTTCTATCCAGCTGATACGATCAAGTCACGCATGCAAACCGAAGACATCACACGCCTGGCACACAATGGTGAAAGGCAAACATTCTGGGGGGTTGCCCGAGCCTTGTGGGCACAGCAGGGAGTGAAGGGATTATATCGAGGTTGCGGTATCACTTGCGCCCGGTCTGCTCCCAGCTCAGCCTTTATCTTTACGATATACGAAGGTTTACGAAGCCATTTTGGTTGAGCGTGTCGTCACTCTATAATCTCCTTGTCCTCCTGCCTTTTTCTTTCGAGTAACTCCTGCGATTTTTTGAGCTTTTCTGGCATTGTTGTATGATACCTATATTCATGTTCTAGATCTAGACCTTTTTTTATTCTACATTCGATTCCCTTCTTCTCTTCTTGCTTTCTTCACTCTTATCTTCCCGTTTCTCAGTTTTCTCATTCTCTTCTGATTTCCCTGTCTTCTTTTCCGGAAAAGAAAACTCAATCTGGCATTGATAGAGGCGGAAGGTGAGGAAGAAGGAAAGTCTTCATTAGAACTATTAATTTTGGGATCAATACTTGCTCTTTCTGGAATGCCAGAATTAGAAGTCCATGATGGTGGTTGAGTGATTACCAGACTTGATTATACGTTACACTGAGTAGAATGGTCAACGAGCTGGGAAAGGTTACTGTCATGCCCAGCTGTCATGGTTTTCAATGGGCTGTTGGTTGATCCGCGATAGTTAGCGCAAATTTTCGGAGAGGGGCTGCAATACCAGAAAAAGAGCATGACGTGTGACCCTCGGTCCTCTCCCACATTCAGCGTTACTTATCTCTTCTCGCCTCACGTCTCGTCCTTCTGGTTTACCACCAGAACCTGGACGATCACTTTCTTGCTCAATCATTTTTCCCGAGCATATATCCGACAATCTATCCGAACATGGATTTAAACATGGCATCGTCCGCTGACCATCTTTCGGCCCAGGAGCTGGAGACTCTCTCCACCAAAGCTATTTCTGCCAAGGACGTTGCGTACTGTAAGTTCGAGATATGTGCTGATTCCTAACCCCCTCAACCTTCATTCTGAACGCGACGTTGAATGCATGTTCCAAAACTTCTGATTTTCATGTGCCTTATAGATTACTAAAAAGCTTCCATAGGCCCTTATTCAAAGTTCCGTGTTGGAGCCTGTGTTTTGACGCAAACAGGCGAGTATTTTCACGGTGCCAACGTAGAGAACGCTGCCTATCCTGTTGGGACCTGTGCAGAAAGGGTTGCATTGGGGACCGCGGTTGTGAGTTACCTCTACTCTTCTTCTATGCTTCGCCTTCCTTGCTGCAAGTTGCTGCAAGTTGCTGGAAGTTGCTGCAGGCCACTGCAAGCTTAGGACTCGCTCTGCAAATCACTATTTGCTCAGCTATTTACTCAGGCTGGCCAGCTCATATCTGTCCTCGTTTTGCCGTGTGACTTTCAGGCGGCACCACGCCCTGGAAATCCTGTCCAACTTGAAGTCACAGCTGACGTATCGGACTGATCTGCAGGTAGCTGGGCATCGAGACTTTAAAGCAATTGCTGTTGCAACAGACATTGAACCAGCAGCATCACCTTGCGGCATGTGCAGACAGTTGTAAGTTGATTCTATGCTTGAAGCCATTTCTTTTCAGTTTCTACACTCATGAACGACATATCTTTCTTGTTTGGTACCTGTACTTACCTTTACTAAACCGATGACTAACAAGCGGACAACAGCATACGTGAATTTTGCACTTCATCATTTCCCATCTTTATGTATGACGGGCAAGGAAATTTTACTATGAAAACTATCGGAGAGGTAATTACACTTAGTGTTCACTGTTGTTCATCTTATCAGTCACCATGCTTTTTTTGTCCAATGTATCCTTGAAAAGGTGTACTGACATATATCTGATTTGCAGCTTCTGCCGGACTCATTCGGCCCAGACGATTTGCCTGGAGCCAAGGAGCAATCTTAGGTCCCTACTTTCAATCTAGGCCTCTCTCATTTCCAGGTCCGGTGCGATAGTATGGAACGCGTCTCCCATTAACGCAGACCTGACAGTCTTACTGGATCCATAAGACGCACTTCCCCTCTCTGGGTTGGCTTCAATTCCATGGTAATTTAACTACCAAAGTTCGCAAGGTGGCCATATATGATTGCTGAGCAGAGCGGCCTTGTCAATTCAGGGCTTTGTTTGTAGGTCGAGGAGCGCGCCTTGTTGGACGTCGGGCTAGTGGCTAGTGAAATGGAACCCAGGGCCACGATAGTATTCTTGCCTCATAGTCGGAAAGACCTCATCTCCTTGGAAACATTTTCTGACATATCACCCTGAATGCATACGTCAATCTGGTTGATATCTCATACACGATCCAGAAAGCACCCACAGAACATCTCAGCGTCAGATTAATGGTACACAAAGTATGTAAGGGACTATGATCTTCATAAACAACACTTACGATCAATGAATGCATGACACCATGCAAATACCCTTTCAAAAAAGATTCGGGCTATTGCCCGAATGGGAACCTATCATTCAAATACTAAAAAGAAGACCAAAGATAATCAAGTCAACCTAGCATGAGTGACAAGTACAAAAGGAAGGCGAACAGGGGCCCTTCCTACATATTCATACTATAACATGCAACCATAGAAAAGCCATGAAGCCTGTCGAAGAGAGCGCAGATGAGCTCTGCCACTAGAGCTCATCTTCCTCGTCAATGTCGGCATCTTCCACCCCAAGAAGCTCATCCTCATCATCGACAACGCTAGTGTAATCGCCTCGTCGGGCTGCAAAAGCACCTCGAGACGAGTAGGGTCGTGTATAGCCTCCACTGCGCCTGAGACGCAAAACACCGCTTGCACTTCGCCATAAACTAGTCGCCAAAAGCGGCAAGGATTTAGCAACAGCCACCGCGCCTGCGATTATGGTGACGGGAATGGTTATGAGCAGCGAGTCTCGCGATAGCAAACCAGAAGAGGTGCTAACATTCTCTCCAAGGCGAATTTGACCAAATTTGCCGTCCCATCTGGTATAGGTATAGTATCCAACAGCACCGGCCACAGCGATGGGTGTCACAATGGCAAAGAACAGCCCAACCCCACCGATGCCGTGTCTACGTTGATATTCCTCCTTTTTATTTGGGCAGGGCTTCGAAGCCAGATGGTCTAACTCCAACCCCCCTTGACAAGTCGTTTGGGGCAGGCGCCGGTATCCTGTGGGCTCCCAGTATTCGACACGATCGGGATCCACCTTACAAACAGCCATCGCATCCGGTGGGGACAATCCCTTGACGAGCCCGCAGCTACCATCACTCAAAGGTTCGTAGTTATAATCACTGTTCAGTGTTAGCAAGCCATTGTTTGCTTCCGAGCTCACATTGATCCAATCGGAGCAATTGGTAAGTGAGTCTTACCATTCAAAGTCGGATTTGGTACAGCTGCAGTTCCTCCCTATGCTGTGAATGTGGGGCTCACGCCAATCGTTCCAACATTGAGCAGCGGATTTCTTGCGATGATACTGTTCAACATGACCAAACAGGCAGTTATTGTCTTCAAAAGGGTGGCTTGGCTCCCAAATGTAGTAATCGTCGCTGGCTCCACTATCTTCGTTCAAGTTGCATGAGGCGGCCCGGAGTTTACTAAAGTCAATATTGACAGTCGCGAGTTTATCTCGATTCTCCGACTCCGCATCTTTACCCCAAAGAAGGAAATTTTTGGAAGTATCAGACGGGACAGTCGAAATGTCTTCGATCTGCATTGGAACATCCGAAAACTGGTATTCTTCCCAAGTATCACCTTCGTCCGTACTGTAATAAAGTACTTTGGTCGGTATTGACTCGCGCACAATCACGACAACAGAACCGGAGTCACCGAATTCCCACAGATACCGGCCTTGCTTCACAAACTTCCAAGTGAAGCCAGCATCGCGTGTGATGAATGTATCTGGCTCGCCATCGCTAGCCAAATGATCGCCCACATTACCTATGCCGACCATAAGGCCAATTGCCGAGCCAGACGAATATGTGTCTCTTTCATCCCTGCGCTCTGTGTAGCCATGAAGGTGGAGCGAGCAAGCCGGAATCCCTTTGCCTGCTTCCACGGCACAACCAAACTTTTGGCCATCCGCATTTTTGGGTGGGGGTAGTAACATCCACCGGCCTCCGTCATTGTGAGTGATCATGGTTCTCAGCTTCTTTGATTCACCGGAAGAAAGCCTGTCCACATTGCTGACAACATTCGCAATAGCAACACCTTCGAGTCCCTGAACTTTCTCGAAATCAACATAGCCACGATGGTCCCGACTCACTGCGCCTAGGCTGAGCACGTAAGAGGTCCCATTACTATTACTTTTTATGATGGAGCCGTACTCGCCTCCTTCGACATTGCTCACAGTCACATGCAAGAAAACAGCATGAGTAGAGCTTTCGAGAACAGTATAGGCTGTCTGGATAGGAACATGAAGGTTTGGAGGAAAGTGTGCTTCTGCAAAGGTCCGGCCATCCACACTGCTGCTCGCAGTCAGAGATTCCGGCTTTTCCGGGTTTCGAGACGCTACCACGACGAACTCGGACATTGTAGCATAATTTATAACATCCTCGAAATGGACACGTCGATCGGCAAACTCATTTTCGCTGGATAAGAGTTGCAATCGGTTGTTTCGATTTTCACTTTCGAACTGCTCGCAGAAAATCAACTTATTGCTGTCGGGACGCGTCTCTCGACTCTCGAATTCGCATTTCTGAACATAGCGGAGAAGAAGTTTCCAATTTTCGCCACGATTCTGGCTGATATGGGCATTGGAATGGCAATCGCCAGACTCGCAATCCACAGCACCGGTCCATATAAGCCAGTCTCTATATTGTGGGTGAAACGAGATTGTTGGGACACGGTCATGGGTAGGCGGAATCGGTGCCTCGAAGTGTTTGAATGTGTGAGCGCGATCAACTGTCCAGAATGCCTCCTTGCCGTCAGTCAGGAGAAAGGCTGTGTCACTGCTATACGGATGAGGTGCAATTTTGGTGATTTTCTTCCCTTGCAATGACTGCTGCCACGTCTTACCGTGGTCATGCGAGAGATAGAGGTTGTGTGCACTTGTCAACATGATGACAGTTTCGTCAGTCCCTGAGTTGCTGGACTGGCGTTCCAAGTAATAGTATGCGCTGAATTGCTTCGCGTCAAAGAACTGTTTCGTATGGCTGATCTTGCCATTGCTATCAGGAGAACTTCCCACGTCCTCACATGACCACTCAATCTGATCATCCATGTTCTTGCCGCCTTCTCGGATGCAGGAGTTTCCCGGAATGAGCCTCCAACCTGATGGACCCAAATACTTATCGGTGGGGTTTGTGCATTTGCCCTCTGGAGGTTTGGGGGTTTCAGCAGGCTTACAGCTTTGCCCATCTTCGCTGCGTTGTTCGCACTCGTAGTCTTCGGTCGTACATTTGCATGGTTCTAGGATCGGCTGAGGGTCTTTGAACTCCTCGTCCACAAAACAATTTGCATTGGCCTTCCTGCGCCGATAATATTGTTTGTGGCCCATCAAACAATCAGGTTCACCTTTCTCATTCAATCTGGCCGGCCACTTTTCAAAGTCATCCTGACCACATTTTCGTTCGTGGAGGCCCTTGAAATCAATTGAATACACAATGTAGTCGCCATCACCATTCTCCTGCCCAACGAGAACAAACTTTAGGCTGGTAGAGTCGGGAGTCGTTGTGACCATGGTGGGGTAAATCGTGTGTTCTAGATCGACTGATTCCCACTCCTTGCCATGATCGAGAGAGAATCTGACCTTTTTCGCCTTTCCAGTATCACTGACCGCCATTATCACAGCACCCTGGTCACCGAATTCGTATTTGTGAGGCCCGTCAAGAGCATGCCGCCAAGTTACTCCTGCATCGTCTGAAACAAACAGGTCTCCATCATTGTATTTCTTGAGGCTGTCGCCTGTGTTGCCGACACCCATGACTACTCCCGGCGCCGGACTCGAGAATACCCGGCCAATATTCGCAAAAGTAGTCACCGAGTGTAGATGCAGATGTTTGTCGCCCACTTTGAGCGGTTGGAAGGTTCTTCCATCATCAAAGCTTATTTGGCTGATAATCTTCTTTTCGGAGCCTGACTCAACCTTTTCAGGATTCTTGACCGTATTGACCAATACGATGCCCTGAATTCCAGCGACTTTTTCAAAATCCACAATACCGGCTTCATTGCGATTGGTGTGCTCGATGTTGCGAGTAAAGAATGTACCGTTCGAATTTGAGGTGAACAGCACGCCCATGCCACTGAAAGGGCTGGTCAGAACATCCACCTGCAGGCTGTAGTTAGTGCTTTCCAGCATGGTGTAGGCATCTTGTTCTATCCTGTGACCGCCAAACTCTGCCCGACTCCAAGTAATTGTATCAGTGGTCACGTACAAAGCAAGCTCGTCGGTTCCCTTGGACTTAACAGCAGCAACGACAAACTTCTTGACAGCAGCGGTACTGATGACTCCAGAGATTGGCCGGTCTGCGTGTAGTTTCACTTCTATGCCATCAGTATTACTGCTGAAATAATCGTCGGAGTACACCAGACGGTTGGCATGACCAAAGGGCACCTTCAAGCCTGGGACAACGCATAGCGTTCTGTCGACAATGTGATCGAAGGATGGGAGATTATCCGCGAAATCCGGATGGCCAACGGCCCAAGAGCATCCGGCAGCGCTTTCGCGCAACAGCTTAGTCGTTTCGAAATCGTTCGTCGTATAGTATGATCTCACGATGCAGAAAAACCCGGCGCATTCCTCGCTTTGGAAGATAATTTTGCTCGAATCCCAACCATGGAAGACAAGAGGTGCGTGTTGCTGTAACGCTGGGAATTCGTCAATTGTGAAAGCATTCCAGGTTTTGCCTTGGTCCTTCGTCTTGAAATGACGCCCATCGTTGCCCAGGGCATAAGCTCTGTTCTTGTCGAAAGGATGTTGTTGAACCCAAACCACCCGCTGTTTCATGCCTTCGCCCTCTCCAATAGCCGACTCCCATTGTTCACCTCCATCGAATGACTGGAAGAGAGCACCGTTCTCCAGGCTCATGAGGACGTTATCCGTGTCCTCGAAGTAGAAAAGGGACACCGGAGCAAAGTCAAATTTCGTCGTGGTGACTTTGGGTTCTCCGGCTGATTTTGCGATGCTGGGCCGCAGCATCAGAGCCAGCGTCAGGTAGCCCACTAACAGGAGCCATCGGGACGCCATCGCCACGACCTCTATAACATTGGCGATGAGACAGCGAACAAGGGCGGAATACCCCCAGGAAGGCTGCACCAAACAGAGTGGTTTGCACGAAGAGCGAGAGCCAGAGAGGATTTCGACTGCTTGGTCAGGTTCTGTCGAATAGGCGTACCAGGTTCAGTAAATAAAAGAAACCGAAGGATAGACAGACGGAAATGGAATCGGCATAGCTGTCGCTGCGTGGCCGAAGACGAGCTTCCTGATCACGTGTCGGCTCGTATCGCTTATCGAGGCACTAATGACCTCATGCAGATAGCGGTAGCAGATAAGCCACTCAGTACATACAGTGCTCCTCACCTTCGAAGCGCTTTCAAACGAGTGGAGCTGTCATGCTATGTACATCTTACCTAGGAGATCCTGAGACTAACGTTCATGGCGTTTAGTCAGACTGACGAAAGGTATTATATATGAGGCCCTAAGGTCATGTGCCTGAAAGGGCTACCTAGCACCCAGAAGATGTAACTATACGAATAGGATAGATCACGGTACAAGTGTAGCGACGCCCGCACCCACAGTAATACTGATTCCGTTTCAACCTCATCTAACGGTGCCATGGACACAATCACCTGTGTATGCAAGCTACAGGGGCATCAGATGAGATAGAATCTTGGCTGACCCGAAATGGAGATCCTATTTCTCAACATACAAGCACTTGCGCCCCATATATCATTTTGGGCCTGGATGCTATTCATATCAAAGATTATTGAGCACGACCTGCAGGGCAGCGGTGTTAGAATCCTCCCTGCGAGAAACATAAGCCTTGACTTCCTGAACACTGAGGCCTGTATCCTCTTGAGTGGGACCTCCAATGCCGCGTCCTGGGCCTGTAGTGGCGTTGCCATTACCAGTATTTCCGCCGGCAGCGCTGACTGCGCCCCCACGTATCCGCTCCTGCAATGCTTCAGAGCCAATGACGAAAAGGTTTCCGACTTCTAGTAGGACATCTAGCGCACCACCCGGGCATTTTACCCGCTCCTCAATATCCCAGCTTTTCAAAAGATCGGTATACTGTGTCATATCCTTGGTTACAATGAGACCTCCTGGCCCATTCACAACAAACCGCTTGAAATGTTCAAGGAGAAGACTTCTTGTTCCAAGAGCAATCTCTGTAAGCAACTGGCGGAGATTAGAGCCACTAGGTGGTAGCGAGCCCTTGAGGACGTTATGCGCACGAGCCAAGAAAGCACAAATTGACGCACATGTCTGAGATCGATTAGTACACGTCCTGAGAGCACTTGAGGTAACGGGCTTGCGGGAAAGGCATAGCGCAGTGACTGACCGGTGTTTGTAGCCTCTCTAACCAAGTCGCATTGTCACCCTCCTTTGGTCGAAAGTCATTTTTCTTCTGACCAGAAAGAAGTTTGTTCACCCAGGCTAAGGTTGCGTCAATAACCTTCTGCTCTATGGAATTTATCTTCTCCTCAATTCTTATTGTTATCAGGTTCGTTTTTTTCTCCATTTCTCGGCGAATTGTGATACTGCCTGCGGCAAGAGGGATAAGCAATGTGTTAATGCACATGACCATTAAGTTGGCGACACTGATAGCGTTCCGAATGGCCGGTATATACCCGAAATCAGGCTCAGTTCTGCCTGATTCCTGGGATGCGGCTACATCCAGAGCGGCGTCTAAGCAAACTTCAATATAGCCCTCTCCCATCATCGCGAGAAGAAGGCTCAGAAGAGCAAGCATATCCTTGGGAGTCTCGCTAGTCATGCTGAGCTCTAGGCCTCTACCAACTGCTTCAGCAAGCCATTTGAGCATTCTCTTTGCATGAGCAATGTTGGGGAGACCGTCATCTTCTGTAAGCTTGATGTCTGTGGGTTTACTGGGATCAGTGGCTTCCCTTAGCCCCGCCAACCTGAGTAAGAGCATCTTCTGTATTGCAGGAAGCTCGGAGGACTCAAGGCGTGCAATATGTGCATCTCTTGCGGAGACAAGAACCTCCGTGCCTGCTTTGGAGAGAGATGCCATAAACGTTGTCACCGCTTTCTTCCTGCGAGCGTGGAAAGTGGTGAACCTGAATTGTAAGGAGGTGTATAATTCTTCCAAATTCCTTCTCTCTCTTTCTATGTAAGATGAACCCACAAAATAGGGCACAAACAGATCCTCCAGTTGCTGATCGAGAATGAGGGCTGTCTGTGACGAGATAGGGTCGGGATGTTCAGTCAATCCATGAGCTTTCAAGTCATCGACTAAGGCGCTTAAATAACTGCGAGAACTTTGTAGAGAACGTAGAAATGCTAGTGATGAAACGCTGTTCGCCTTATCCAAGACCATCTCGAGTCTTTGTTGAATCGACTGCTGGAATACTCGCTGCAGGAACTTTCCGAGTACTTGTTCGTAGTACGGGAAGGCCCTTTTGATGATCGCGGACTCTTCTTGCACCACAACTTTGACTTCATCAATGAGTGACTGTAGGCTGGGCTCCACTTTTGACGGTTCAGCGTCGGGATCTGCAAGCATTTCCCAGGCTTCTGGATCTCCTCCGACTTCTTCGGTCACAAGCTGGCTGCGGTCAATAAAGAACTGATGTTGGTTCACAAACAAAGCAATCACACTTGCACCACCATTGAAATCTTGGAGCACTGTTGCGCAATCCTTCATGCCTTCAAAATTAGCTTTCCTGTAGAAGTCATCGAATTGCTTCAACAAGTCATTCTCTAGCGTCTCGGAGAACTTCTCAATAATTTCTCGCGTATTTGGCCGAATGACATTGCCCTTTGTGCTCCCGGATTCATCTGCTATAGTTCCATTTGCGTGGGACCCGTTATGTCTTCCCGCTACTTCACTCCAACTTTCAGTGTCAAGTCGCTGGCTGATTCTGAGCAACTGGCGCGCAATCTGTGCCGATCGAACCTTGGCCTCACCTGTTCCTGACCTTCTCAAATTCTCCAAAAGGGTTAACTCCCCTCTGTTGCTCACACCATCCCAGCATTCGAGGAGAAAGTGTGCGTCAAGCGCCCGACGCCTTTGACGATCTAATTCCTCGAGCTTACGTCCTGTCTCGACAGCCATATTGCCTGTGCTCTCGGAAACCTCTCCTCCAGATAACCCTGCGCCATTGAGCGACGTATCGAGTTGCTGGAAAGATTCGATGGTTTGACTTAATTTTCGTCCTAGGGTGTTCAGATTCTGAGTATGCTGTGCCTCTGCCCTGCGGACTGCAGCAGATAATTCATTTTCTCTTATCTCGAGGTCGCCTGATATATCACCTAGTCGCCGCTGCGCATGCTCAAACGTCCGAATCAGCGGTTTGGGGTCAAACGGCTGGCTTCCACCTCCTGATGCTCCTGTAGGTCGCCGAGTGTTCACTGCATTTTCGGAAAGAGATTCAATAAACTCCTTCACGATGAAATCACGGCTAGAGAAGTCTTCGAGTGTGAAGCCGGGACCTTGAGGGAATACCGGACGAGACACAGCATTAGGAAGGGGATTTGTTGACACATCGTCCGGCATATTCTGGTCTGTCGGCGGGATCCTCCCACATTGGCATTAGCTTTATGCTGGTAGAGGAGTTGCGATCATTGACTTAGCAGTCCATGGACAAAATGTATTTGCAGCTCGAGTGCAGCCACGGGACGTGCGGAGTACGGAGTAGACGAGGTAGCTTGCTTCCTCGTAACAGTGATGGACAGCCTCGCCCCGCAGTTGATTACATAAACGATAATCTTGAGCCATAGTTATATGTACGTGTATTTGTTCTATATGACCACCTCGCGCTTGATTATCGTGTCTCGGGGCAAACAAACAGCGTATGTATTCCGCCTGTTCCTGCAGTCGTGTTGAGGCTTTGTTTCCCGGTTTCGCAACAACATCCAGATTACTCCGTACTGTATGGCCATCCAGAAGACGCTCACAGGTTTTTGTGGCAGGTTCACCATTAAGTTAACTAGCAGCCTGCAGGGCGCTTTACCCATTTTTGACCTCTCACCACCCGGCGCAATCACTTCGCACATATTCATGTACATCTAAAAAAGAAAACATGGTCTCGCAACATGACAGAGAGCTTTTCCGCAACGATGTACGCTCTCGAGGGACCAAGCTCAGTGCTGCTGACCGGGAAAACATTTTGAGGCCATATCTCCCAGACCCCTCTGACCTCCAACGACGGTCACCGCAGCGGCAGAACAAAGCCCACCGAAGGGCTCCTGTACGAACTTTCGTCAAGGCACAAATCCATCGTATTGTATACACCTTCGTTCATATCATCTTTGGAATTATAATTCGGCTCCTTCAAAGCTACCATGCCACCGTGGACCGGATATGTGCAGTCATATATTATCACCATCGAACCCCTGAATTGATCAGGAAAGATGTGAAAGGCCTCAAGCGCCTACCCGAACACTTGAGTGTCATCCTGTCGCTTCGCAAGGAGGATGACGCCCTTAGCGTTTTGATGGACGAAGTTGCAGAGCTTGCAGCTTGGAGCGTGAGTGCCGGAATACCAGTGTTGAGTGTTTACGAAAAAAGCGGTAAGTAGACCCGGCCCTTGACGGCAATCTACAGAGCTAAGCCAGTGCTAAATGCTAATGAATTGGGCGACATCCGCAGGGGCTCTGAAATCCTGCATTCCTATACTTCACCAGGCTATCACAAACAAAATGTGTTCTTACTATGGCTCTCCTATTCAACAACCCCGGTTGCGCCTATTTGCGCCCCATCATCCTGTCTTTGACCAGCTGCCACAAGATGTCGCTAGTGATTGCAAGAATGGATCCTTGACGGTGCTTCTGCTCTCCGCCACTGATGGCAGGGAGACCTTTGTCGACCTGACTAAAACTTTGGCGGAGATGTCCCAGAGCGGAAAATTGTCACCCGAAGATATTACCTTAGAATTGGTCGATGCAGAAATTAGTGAGATTACTACTCAGCCGACTCGGCCAAGTTCGCCAACCTCGAATGACAACAACAAGGCTTCGGACCAGTTCAGGTTTGTCGCAAAGCCTGAGCCCGACCTTCTGCTAGTATTCGGCGCCTTTCTAAAATTAGACGGATACCCTCCTTGGCACGTTCGACTGACCGAAATGTTTTGCACTGGCGGTAGAAGTAGCGGGACCAATACCTCTGAAGAAGCAGTTGAATATCATGGCTTTCTACGGGGACTCTGGCATTATGCTGGGGCTCAGATGAGGTTCGGCCGTTGAAAGTGTTGAGAATGATTACGGGGTGGTCTGTGTATACACCAGCGCAGCATCTAGATCTTTTTATCAGGTTCAAAGTCGTTATCAGTGTCTCATGACCAACCTCTTGCTGGAGGATCAATGCCCAAATAGACAAGACCAGAATAAGTCGGAACGCGGAAGATCAGCCACATTCAGACTAAGATTACACT